TGTCAGGGACATAATCCTGCTTTCCTAGGGAACATAAAATATTGTGATGGATTAGTGACTATCTCTTCTATCCTGGCACGAGCTTTTTGTAGGCAAGAGACAAATGTGTCTGATGCATGAAAAAGGATTGTAGGATTGTGATCTATAATGAAACAGTACCATAAATTTAAAATCTTCTGGTTTGTGTGCTGCAGTTATGAAATGGGCAACCATTGGAGCAGACTCCACCTGGTTCCTAAAACGAGATAGATGTTCCTGTATACGGATTTTTTATAGGTCTTGTACTGATTCCCATGTAGACCAATTTACACACACATACACAGGCATATACTACATTAGAGGTATTACAATTACTGAAGTGATTAATCTTCACTTGCTCTGTACTAGTAGGATGCTGAAAAACAGAGCCTACAATAGATAGTGGACATACATTACAACTTTTCCCACATTTAAAGTGTCCCACTCTGACTGGAACTATATTGTAACTGCAAAACTGCAGCACACAAACCAGAAGATTTTAAATTTATGGTATTGTCTCATTATAGATCACAATCCTACAATCAAGTAGACATATCCCGGGTTTTATTACAGAAAGAAGCTGAATTTATTTTCAGACTACATACACTGATTCCATCAGGATTAAATCAGGAACTTGATTTGAGTTCCTTTCTGTAAATGGTCAGGGTACCTTTAAGATAAAAATGCCATTTTAAAACATCACACCTGTTGTATCCTACAAATTTTCCATTGTGACATTGTGCCACACTGAGGGAAGCTGAGTCAAATATCACATTGTAGACTCTGTCACATGAGAGCATGATAGGAGCTCCCCAGTCACCAGGTTGGTAAATTTTGAAATGGTTGTTTTACTTGGAATTATTCTTGTATATGTGTCACTGATGGACTGTAGAATATTCATTGTGCTTGTCTGCTTTCCTTTAGATTAAACGCGATAACGTATAAAAAACTGTATAAGAATTTACATTGTGAAATAATGGTGAGTTTATAAATTGCAAATCCTCCTTTGTATATTAGAGTAAATTTTATGTTTTTTGTTGGATTATTAAGCATGTTACACTTCATTGCAGCTTGCAGCACTTTATTCTATTGAAGATAAGAATACAGACGACAAACCTGAAGAAGGATTCGTAAACGGACTTATACTAGAAATCCGTTGTTTGTCTGAGGCTATACTGTAGTGTTTCATATGTACTGTCAAGCCTAAGATCGCATTTAAGATGTTATAGTTGTAATCTTGCTGACAATTGAATTCTAAAAGCATTATATATAAATATCTGCTTATATTGTATATTCATACACGGTGATTTATTGTTTTTCTGGTAGAAAAATATGGAGCAAAAGTAAAACACACACAAAATAAAACCATGATGAACAACTGTATGATTGAACAACACTCTGAAAAGCCCTAGTGCTCGATTGCTAATGAAAAGGGGGATGCTCCGATCTTCATGTGTCTTTTAAGTGGTGCATTTCCTTAGCACGCTAAGGGAGAGGAATAATCCCATCATTTAATTAAGTTAATAGTTTAAACCAAGATTTGCATAGATGTCCTAATCAGTTGCCATGAATTAACAGAGGTGCAGTTTCGCCTGCAAGAGGTAGTAGTGGGGGGAGAGAATTTCATCTCCTTCACGTAATTAATTGTCCTCATTAGCTTTATCATTTGTTCTGATTTTATTTTTCCCTTTCTTCGGGAAAGAACTTCTCTCTTTCTCTCCCCTCCCCTCTTACAGAATGTCTTGCGTTACAGAGAGACAACCCACACTTCAGTTATTGGGTCACTGGTGGTGGTGGTGGGGGGAGACGTTTGCAAAAGGGTAGTAAGGCAGGGAAGGTTGTGGGCTGGACACGCACAGGGTGGTCGGTGGAAGGGAAAGGGGGTTGGTGACGTTTCTGCAACTGCAAATTGCACATGTGCACGGGGTTTCTGGTATTGACTGTGCTAGAGTTTGCAGAGGGTTAGCAATTCTCGTTGCCAAAGTGCAGGCAGAAGATAATTAAAGCCCAGCTCCCAGTTCATCAAATTCCTCTTCTGCCTTTGGATCTCTTCCTTTTCTTCTCCATGTCCCCCCACCACAGGGGTTGGGGGGGGGTCTAGGGCTCTAGGATATTTTCAGTCTCAGCACGAGGCTGGTGTCACGGCAGGACCAGGGGGTGTGACGCAAGCAAGCAAAAGTCCAGGAACAGTCCGAGGTCAAGCCGGGCAAATCAGGTAGCAAGGTTCAAGCAGGTTAAAATCACAGTCCAAAAGCAGGGTCAGACATACCAAAGTTTCAAGTCCATAAATCACAACAATACCAGAGGAGTCAGAGATGAACGCAGGGTCAACAAAGCCGAAGGTCAAAAGCCAAGGATCAAGCCGAGAAGAATTCCACAAGGTCTGGAACAGAGAGGCAAGGATTCAGGTCCTGAACAAACGACGTTGCCAGCACAAATGACTGCTGGCAACAGACTTGCATATATACAGTGCTAGCTAATCAACTCATTAGCTAGCCAGGAGTGAGGACAGGATCCTGTCAGTAATCAGGGCTAAGAGATCTTCTGGCACGCATGCGTGCATTCTGCCTTCGCTCTCTCAGCTGTTGTCTTCTTACATTCCTGAGCCTGGTTACAGGTGGAGGCAAGTCTGATGATGAATTACTGGGCTGCAGCAGAGACTGATCCCTTGCAGGTGTTCCCTGGGAGGCTCTATCCTCCTCACCACTTAGATAGCTTTCAGCTACAGGATCCAGTCTTTGCCTTTCTGCTGCAGTACTGTCCTCAGGAGCCTGTTCAGGGTCCTCAGGAGCCTGTTCAGGGGCATCAGCAAAGGCAGGCATGACATCAGCAGGGGCAGGCATGACAGCTGGTGTCCACATCTGAACAAAGTGCTGTGGGGAAGTGGCATCCTATCGCTAAATATTCACTGGGGAAAAATATGTACTGGAGATTTAAACTCTTTATTAGCATTTTATCATTAGTCTCATTTCGCTATAGAGAAATTAAAAACAGTGACTGCGCAGCAATGAAAGAGGGGGCAGCAGAAGGTGGCTGAATATGGGCAGAAGGACTTTGATGTGGGGTGGGGGGAGTGGGCATCAAGAAGTGGCAATGGGTTGGGGGGGGATCCTATTAAATTATTATGCTCTTGGATTCACTTCAACTTGGAAGCAAACAAAAAAAATCACTACAAAAGTGCTCTCAGAAAATGTGGGGAGAAAGCGAACAGAAAGCAAACCAAGAACTAAAGGGAGGAAAATGTATGCAGAAAGGAACATGTATGCAGAAACCCTGCCGGAAATGTACACTGAAAGCAATGGAAAACACACGTGCGTTATAGACCATTGTGAATTAGAATAGTCAACAAAATGGGACATTCAATAACCAACGCATTAGGATTTTAGAATTCTGTATGCATCAGAAAGAACTAAAGCATACAATAAGCATTATCACATGACACGTTAAGTGGTAAAAAAAATAGATAAAAGGATCCTACTTTCAATAAGCTACAACAGTATAGACCACAGTCCCTAATCATTCATTCCAGTAAGTTGTGAACCATTTTGTACAGTGCAACCCTATTAAAGGTAAAGGTTCCCTTGCTCGAAAGCCAGTCGAATCCGACTCTAGGGTTGTGGTGCTCATCTCCGTTTCATAGCCGAAGAGCCAGCGCTGTCCGAAGACGTTTTTGTGGTCATGTGGCTGGCATGACTAAACACCAAGGCGCACGGAACGCTGTTACCTTCCCACCGAAATGGTACCTATTTATCTACTTGCGATTTCTTGCTTTCGAACTGCTAGGTTGGCAGGAGCTGGAACTAGAGACGGGAGCTCACTCCGTCATGTGGCAACTCGGGTCTCGAACTGCTGAACTACTGACCTTCCACAGCCTGCAGTTCAGCGTCTTAACCACTTGAGCCACTGCAGCTCCCGCAACCCTATTACCTGCACAGAAAAACCCTCTTGAATAGTTCAGTTTTGCACAGTTTGCAGACAGCCAGGAGACTACAGGCAGGCCATTCTATAAGGCCATGGATCTGAAGTTGTGACTCCTCAGCAAAAAAAATTATGTTTATGCCTACTGGACACCACAGCGGATCTTTAGCAAAGGATAAGTGTCTAATTGTTGGCATTGTAACTCATAGGATGTGTTCCTTAAACATAAGCTTCGGATGTGTCCAGTCACTCAGTTTTTCTGGGAAAATTCAGATCAGTTTTGTAATAAAATGTCCATTGACTTCTGAGGCTGTTTATGTACTTATAAACTATCTGCCCACCTCATGGAGGCTAACCAATGGTCACGGAAAATGGATCTTCCATGCCTTTATAACAGCTAAAAGTTTTGTATTACAACACTGGAAGTGGATTGAGGACCTTAGAAAAATCAATATTTGAATGCAGTTAGAGGAACGTTAAGAATTTGGTGGTGGTTTCACAGACTAGCAAATCCATACTGCTGATATGCTTTTCAGTATAGCAGATCACAGAGTTGGAGGTGGCCACTGCAAGGCATGCATTCTATCCACTGGTCTGTTCTCTCTTTGAATCCTCCCTTAACATGGTTAAATCACAGTGTGCAGCAACAGAACAGGAGCAGTGCCTCAGAGCCAACTCAAGAGGAAAGGCCAAACCAGAAAAACAGAGGACAGCAGCAGAAAATTACCATATTCAAACACACTCTATGGACAGAATATTGCATTTCAGCCTGGGGCTGGGACCAATTGGACTCACAAGATTAAAAAATACATATATGTAAAAGATTGGCAAATGTTAATGTCTCTATCAGAGGAGAAGGCTGGCTCTGAAACCTCCTGAACTGGAACAGAAATGAAAAAAAAAATCCATTTTCCAAACCCCACCTCCTCTTGAAAATGCCTGGCTGTTCTGCAAGCATATATACACTAGTAGAGATTGTCCTCCGGCATCCTTCCAGGATAAGGCACCAATTACCAGGCCGAAGCTACTGATTTTGGCTCTTCTCTCCGATTCTTTGGTCATCCATGATGTGGGAACTCCGCTCCGTGGCCTTCACCCGAGCTGTCTTTGCAGAATTCCTTGCCACGCTGATCTTCATCTTCTTTGGCTTGGGCTCCGCTCTCAACTGGCCTGTTGCCCCACCAAATGTCCTCCAGATTTCACTGGCCTTTGGTCTGGTCATAGCCACTATGGTTCAAGCGGTGGGGCATGTCAGTGGGGCCCACATCAACCCCGCAGTGACTGTGGCCTGTCTGGTGGGCTCTCATGTCTCCTTCCTGAGGGCCATCTTTTACGTGGTGGCTCAGATCCTGGGAGCCGTGACGGGGGCTGCCCTTCTGCACCAGCTCACACCACCTCACATCCGAGGCAACCTGGCTATAAACAGGGTAAGGATTCTACCACCATTAGAGATGGAGGAGGGCAAAGGACAACTGCCGCATGTGTCTGTATACCACGGTCTTCAAGAAATCTAGATTAGTAGAAGGAGATATTTCTTTCTCACACAGTTGTATTATGCTAGAAATCTTGGCTCTCACTTAATTCTACCCTCCACTGTAATAGAAGAAATACAATCTAGTTGTGTTGTACTGGCCCTGACTTGGATAGCCCAGGCTTGCTCGATCACCTCAGACCCTGGCTAGTATTTGGAAGGGAGACCTCCATGGAATACCAGGGTCTTGACGGGGAAGAAGGCAATGGCAAGGCACCTCTTAACATCTCTTGCCTTAAAAACCGTACAGGGTTGCCATAAGTCAGCTGTGACTTGACAGCAAAAACAGCCCGTGAATTACAGGAAATTGTTTATGTGTTGGGCAACATTTAGGAATCTGTGACTTGGACTTTGGGACATGTATCTATGGCAAGGAAAAGAGGTAAAGCCAAGCAACCGTAGCCCAGAATCTTTTGTGACACTGCAAGGTTAAAATTCTCAGAATGTGATAGATCAGGGTCTTGCAAGATAGATCTGTGTCATTTAGGGGCATGTATTATGGGTTATTTTCACACGGATCAGAATGGCTACTGATCTGGAAAAGGGAAGGGTTATGATTTTCCCTGTGACATGTGGGCTCAGCTTGTTTGATAAGTCGATATCGGCTGCTCTGAAGGCATCATGTTTACTTCCTTTTTATGGTTTAACTGGAGCTGGGAGCTACTGGTTTACAGAGGGGGCTTTGGAGTAGGAGGCTGGTCTTGATGCTCCAGTTCCGTTCAGAAGTCTTAGCACTCCGATTCCCTATTCTGAAAGCAATAATTAATTGAATGGTGAATTCTCATGGGAAACTGCTTAGCTAAGGTCACTGTAATTCCATTTTATCTAACTGACCTGAGGTTTGATTCCAGGTTTTCTAGATTAAACTCCAGCATTCCACAGAAGCATGCCTTCCACTGAACCAGGCAATCCATTCATCTAAGGGCTTCATTTATTCATTATGCTGTTTACAGGTCCATACGGTTCCATTCTGGGCCCTGTTGAAAAGACATGCTCTGGGAGTTGCATGCTGAAACTAAACTCCCAGGTGAATCAGGGGCCTGATTCAGATTGTGGTATGTGTTTAAATGGGGCTTCCAAACATATACCATTCACCTGAACTGAAATGGCCCCAGGGAATTTATATTTGCCCATTGGGGCAACTGCTATATGTAAGTTTTCCAAGTACAGGCAATAGCAGCTCCCTTGGATCAGGAAAACTGCTTAAGCCCCCTCTCCTCATGCAACATGGTCCTGAGAGCCAGTTTGGTGTAGTGGTTAGGAGTGTGGACTCTAATCTGGGAGAACCAGGTTTGATTCCCTACTCTTCCACATACAGTTGCTGGGTGACCTTGGGCAAGCCATACTTACCTCAGAGCTGTTCTCTCAGAGCTCTCTCAGCCCCACCTACCTCATTGAGTGTCTGTTGTGGGAGAGGAACTGAAGGAGATTGTAAGCCACTCTCAGACTCTGAGTGAAAGGTGGGGTATGAATCCAATCTCTCTTCTTCTCTTCTGAACCAAATGTATGCCAAAGGAGTGTAGAATGAAATAGGCCACCATGAACTCCTTAGAGGAAGGGCAAGATAAAAGATGTACTGAATTTGGCTCCTGCATACCTAGAGATTCAGTTGCAACACCAAACTCCCAGATCGTATCTGTTCAACAGGACCCACAGAAGGAAAAGGGGCAGACCCGTAAACAGTGTAACGTATAGGTAAGGCTGGTACTGCTTACTGATGGACAGAAGCTATTTGAGGTCTATTCTTGTTACTTGAGATAGTCTTAACTGGAGATGCCAGGCAGGGACTGAACCTGGTACTTCCAAGTATGTAAATCTAGTGTTCTGTTACTGAGCAATGTGCCTCTCTGGGAGGTTATAAAGAACTTTAATCATGTGTCTCATTCCTTAAGTTAAATCTGTATTTCGTTGAAAGTTATCTGAAGAAGTGAGCAGTGACTCACGAAAGCTCCTACCCTGCCACAAATTTTGTTAGTCTTTAAGGCGCTACTGGACTCTTGCTCTTGTCTACTGCTATGCTACAGACAGACTAACAGGGCTACCCATTTTGAATTGGTATTTGTTTCCTCTGACAAAATCAAATTACTCAAATTCTGTTACTTTCAAAGCAACAGGCACTAGACTTAGTAGTCCATTTCATTCTGTCTACATCTATGGTTTCCACTGCATAAGAGAAGAGGGACAGAAATTCAACATGTGCAGATGTCTTAGGGTTGCCAGCCTCCAGGTGGTTATATAAATATAAAGACACTCCGTGAATGAATTATGAACATAAGCAGAAAAATTATATTGTATGAAACAATTCAAACATTTTGAAATCTTTGTTAAAGAACCCATTACGAACATAAGCAGAAAAAAAATTATATTGTATGAAACAATTCAAACATTTTGAAATCTTTGTTAAAGAACCCATATATATAATAAGCAGAAAAAAAATTATATTGTATGAAACAATTCAAACATTTTGAAATCTTTGTTAAAGAACCCATTACGAACATAAGCAGAAAAAAAATTATATTGTATGAAACAATTCAAACATTTTGAAATCTTTGTTAAAGAACCCATATATATATATATATATGGGTGCCGCATGATGGGGTGAGCTCCCATCTCTAGTTCCAGCTCCTGCCAACCTAGCAGTTCGAAAGAAAGAAATTGCAAGTAGATAAATAGGGACCACTTCAGTGGGAAGGTAACAGCGTTCCGTGCGCCTCGGTGTTTAGTCAAGGAACCTTTACCTTTACACACACACACACACACACACACACACACATATATATATATATTACAGAGCTAGGAACAAAAAGTACTTGATACAAAGGGAGAATAAAATTAGAGTCCACAATTCCTTTGTATAAAAAACTTCAGGAGTGCAATAGTTCCACTTCATATGTGAGTACAGCTATACACAGCTGGGTTCACTGCCGCGTTCACGTTACGCTACTTCAGATAGCTGGTACTCTTTAGCTGTGAACTGAAAATTATATTTCCATGTCATATTAACTATATTACAACATATTAACTATATCCCCAGTTGTCAGTACATACATACTCACTGAAATAGAGTTTCAACAATTCTCCTTCACTAGTTTTCCATTCGCTCCACTGATAGGTTCTCTTTCTGCCGATTAGGCTTCTGCAATAGTGGTGGTTATTAACACACAACATATGCCATTAAGTATGTACTGACAATCTGGAGTCACAATATTCTGACACAACTTGCATCAGTACATAATATCCTATTTTATATTTTTATTTCTAAGAATGAAGTTTCTAATAAACTGGTGGATAAACCAAAGGAAGGAAAACTGACCTGAAATAACCTACTTGTTTACAGAATAGTATAAGAAACCTCTTCTTTATTTTTGGCCACTAGGACTTTTAAAAAATCAACGGATAGAAATACATTACTCAGCTTCAGTTCTTTCCACCCAGCACATTTGAGACACAATATTCCCTTTTCACAATTGTTAAGAATAAAGGAGCCACCACCGCTACTGTACCACCAACCGAGTTGCCACCTTTGATGGTGGATTCTACCAGGATATGAGCTGGCCTTGGCAAGATGACCAGACAAACTGAAGAACTAGTTATGAAAGGACGACAGTACTATCCGGAACTTATGCTGATGGGTTATGCTAGTTAATGGAACCCCATCTTGGACTGATAAGAGCTTATTCTCTAGAGCACCGGCACTTTGTTTGTGATGGATTGTTTTATTCTGTTTTTAGTTGTTGAGTTATGGCATATGCCTCTTTTGTTAGCCGCCCTGAGCCCAATTGGGGAGGGCAGGATGTACATTTAATAAATAAATAAATATCTATTAAAGATTCAGAAATCTGACCAGAATAAAAGGTTAGACTCCTAACCACTGGTTTCCTCAATCCCATTCAGACTTAAACTAGGTCCAGGTAGGTAGCCGTGTTGGTCTGCAGCAGAAAAAAGTTTGAGTCCAGTGGCACCTTTAGGACCAACATCGGACTCAAACTTTGTTGATCTTAAAGGTGCCACTGGACTCAAACTTAAACTAGTTAACAGTAAGGACAAAATTGACCATGTTGACATCAGAACTGCAGGATTAACCCTCCATTGGAATTATTTTTATTTTTGTGCATCCCATAAATACAGCAGCCTGTTTCCAAGAAGCCATTTATATGGGATTTAGTAACGTGTCTCTGTGCTATATTCTAGCTCTGCTGACAGTTGTGTCAGATAGTGCCAATTCCAGCACTGCTAAACAGCAGGGCTGGAATTGTCAGCCCTTCCCTTTTCAGCTGTGTAAAAATGACCATCTTATTGGTCCTAGACTGGCAAGCAGGTTATTTCAACTCCTTCTCTTGGCATTTGTAAATGCCCATTATCCTGTTTCAGCAGTCCCTACTACCCAGATCTGGGAAAGTGACAAACATAAATGTGGGTTGTGCAACAAGAAACTGCAGAGCTTAATTTTGATTTACAAGCATGAAAACAATCAACTTATGAAGAGCCCCAGTCTCTGTCATCTCACACACAAAGTCCAATTCATTCAATTGGACCCTTGGCCTTTTCAATGAGCTTAAACAGTGTGGAAAGCACTTGACGAATGGCTCCGTCCCAGAGCACTTGATAATATCAAAGTCTGAGGTCACATAGGAGGAGTCCATGTTGTTACCACTCTTCTGAGAGTCTGGAACAATGTTAATGTGAGAAGGAACCATGCAGACTTCTAATGAGACCCATCAAGAACCAGCGTGGTGTAGTGGTTAGTGTGTTGGGCTAGAATTTTGGAGATTCAAGTTGAAATCCCTGCTCTGCCATGAAGCTTACTGGGTAACATTGGACAGTCACACTCTCTCAGCCTAACCTACCTCATAGGATTGTTGTGAGGACAGAGTGATGAATGAAGTATGCCACCATGAGCTCCTTAGAGAAAGGGTGGGATTAAAAATACACAACATAAACAAGAAGTCATGGTCCTGACTTGGACAGCCTAGGCAAGCCTGATCTTGTCAGATCTCAGAAGCTAAACAGGGCTGACTCTGGCAAGTACTTGGATGGGAGATATCCAAGGAATACCAGGGCTGGGATGTAGAGGCAAGCAGTAGTAAGCCACCTCTCTGAAATGTCTAAACCCCACTAGTGGACACCAGAAGCCAACCATGATTTCCAGGCACACACACATACACACACACATACAAAGAAACCCCTCACCAAACACACACACATGCGCACGCACACACACGAAGTCACAGTGCAGCAACTCCCACACTATTAAAAATAATATGAAAAGAGAATCTTTCTCACAGTTGTGAGATCCTACTCCCAACTACATCTATATATCTAATTCCCAAGTTGCCCCCTGCATGCGGATATCTAAATCTGCACATCAGGGGCACTTGGGGGGCAGGGAGATTTTCCTGCGCACTTTGGGCAATTCCCAAGAGTGCAGAAATATATGAAAAGTTGGAAAAAATATTTAAATTGCCTAAAAAGTAAAAAGTAAAAGAGCATTCCCTGCACATGTGCACAGAGAATGCTCTGGGAACTCTGGTGGGCTGGCGGCTGGAAGGTGCTCAGGCCTCGCCGCCGGAGCCGGGGGGGGGAAGGAGATCAGTGGGGCTGAAGCCAGGGGGG